GATATACATAATTTTTAACAGGCTCGTCGGATTTTTGCCTCATAGCATTTCTGATTTCAGACAGTTGATCGTATTCAAGCTCTAACTTCCCAAAGTGTGTTTCTAAGCATTCTTTCAGTTGCACGGCAGTGGTTACCTAGTGTCTTTCTACTACCTGCTGGGCTCTTCCTTTTAATTTTGATGCACAAACTTTCCTAATTAGTGCAGAAATTGCTGGATCAGAGTTTAATTGCCTACTTGTTCTTATAATTTGATCTATAAATGCAGATACGTCAGTTGATCCGTCGTACTCCCTTATTTCAGTCAACAATTCACGAATAAATTGATGATCTTCCCGTCAAAGCATTCCTGTGTGAACATGTGGTCGCGTGGACGTATCTTGCCCCGTAGAAATATTATTTGAAGGCAAAGGCGGCTCAGCTGCTGAATTTCCCTGCTGTCTTCGCGCTGCCGGTATTATTACTTCATCCTTCCGTATAATTTGCATAAGCTCGTTGAGTTGTTTCGATAGATTGTCAATTTGCACCTGCTATTGTTCATTTTTTTCACGTTGTAACAAAAGCTCCTTCCTCAGCTGTGATTCTTTATCTGATTCGGTGATATCTTCGCTTGAGCTTATTTTCTTCGTGAATTTACTAAGAGCATCCATTTTTGAAGGTCGTAAGTAAATGTTTGAATGTCGCTGATTATCGTGTGAGTGGTTAGTTAGGTCTGTTAAGGATTGTGTTCCGGAAGTTTTGTCAGAATCTGTACTCTCGTTATCGACAGTTCGATAGTTACAAAAAGTATCGCGACTTAGCATATAAGTCTAACCTATTTTTCAAACGCGAGTGTAGTGATGTGAATGTACACGTGTGAAAGCTTATTAATTACGACTGCTTTTATGATTGAAAGGTAAATAACCTCACTGATACGACAGACAAAGTGGGGCCAACTTTCTCTGTAATATCTCAATCATAGACTTCAGTTTACAAAATATAACGCGGCGCAATAAGTTCTTTACTTTTTGAACTTATTAAAATTTATTTTTGCGTACCTTGAGTCCTTTGGACCTCCCTGTTGGGCCGTAAAAACGGTAGCACTGAATATATCCGTGAGCACAATGTGCGCTGAAGTTGAGCTGCTCCCCTGGCAACTGCGAGACTCCTGAATCAGCAACGATTTGTGCGTGTAGGCTGATGAACGATGTCGGCTGCTTCTCTGAGAACTGCTGCACCAATCAATATCAGCCGAGAATGTGCGTTCGGACTGTCCTCTTCTCTGGGAACTGAGTGATAATCCGGAGTCGAGCGATCTCTATGCTGCCTCTTGACTAAACGGTCCGATTATACTACTGGTAGTTTTTTTCTAACCGTTTTTTCTTTATTCCACCCTTGCTGCCACCAAATGTCATCCAATTTTGATGATTGTCACATGAAGTTTTACACGCTGCGGTAACGATGGTCGAGTTATAAGGCGCGTGTGGGTACTTGCAGGAATCTAGGCGTCGAAGTCGGCAGTTATATAATAATACTTTTTATTATAAAGTGACAGAGCTCCAGAGAGATGTCTTTACAAGGCGAGATCGTGTACAGGACTGACTGCGCTTGTCCCTCTCGGGGGCTCACGAACTTAAAATAAGTCCCTACCACTTCCTTCAGGAATAAGTATATCCTGGGAACCGAGAGAGTCATATAGCTTAATTGTTTATTTAGGTTTGCAGCTGTCTATGTTCTATTTCATTTCTGGTCGATCATGTATTTACCGCGTACAGTTTATTTGTTTCGGCCTATCTTATGTCTTCTACTTCAGTCGGCCCGCGTGTGCAACGAATACGCGTGTATGACATACGTTCTTAGCTACAGGAGATAACTATATTATTTTATTATTAGTTCGCATGACACTCTCTCTCTCTCTCTCTCTCTCTTTCACCGAATAATATTCATTATAAAATCCTATTCGCGTGCGTTAGTCTTTCGGTCCAATAAAGACTGTAGTTATTTTTATTAATTAAAGTTAGTCAAATTTATTCACCGATTACGTTATTTAACTATCCCAGTAGCTTAAGCAATTTGTAAAAGGCTTAGGTTATAATCCGATTACATCTAGGGGATTAAGTGGATTAGGCGTAAAGTCGCCCACATCTAAGATTCATCGAGTGTCATAAGGCATGTGACTTAACCCTTTTCCTCCCAAATAACACAAATTTTTTCTTAACTTTCATCCTCATATCTTTTAATGAAGAAATCGTATGAAATATTTATCAAGCATCATATCTTGTAGATTTTGACCTCCTCTTTTGAATGCCGTTGACAAAATTTACCTAAATTGTAAGCCGGAAAAATTATAAGCCGGTTTTCCGGAAAATTCACAAATTTTTCACGTTTTTTTTCTAAAAAAAGTATATTTTGAAATGGAAAAAGTTTGCACACACCATTGGAAACACTGTTATCGGTGTTATAGATGACTTTTCTTTCAAATGTCGTTGGATTTTTTCCGAAATTCAAAATGGCGAACACAAAATGGCGTTCGAAAGGAAAAATTTTTTTTTTAAACTTGAATTTTTTCCTCCAAAACTATCAAGTTTAGTGAAAAATTTCTAAGAACAAAAATGTCTTAAAATTAGTCAAGAAATACTCTCAAATTTTTTTAGATTTTTTTACAGCGAATTTGGAAATTTCGATTTTCCGATTTTTTACGAATTCGAAAATTAACTCGGAAAATTCTGAAAAAAATTGAGAGTACTCCTTGGTAAATTTTGAAGACTCTTTTGTTATTATGAATTTTTTTATTGAGTCAATAGCTTTTGAGTAAAAAATTAATCAATTTTATTCCTAGTATACATTTTTTTCAAATTGGTTTCATAAAATTTTAAATAATTTCAAGTCTAACAATTATTTTTTTTTTGCTACCCTCGCTAAAAGTCGATTTTCCTGATCGCGACGTATGGGACTTTAGGCGAGAGAGTTAATTTTCGAATTCGTGGAAAATTTGAAAATCGAAATTTCCAAATTCGCTGTAAAAAAATCTGAAAAAATTTGAGAGTATTTCTTGACTAATTTTAAGACATTTTTGTTATTTTTTCACTAAATTTTTCACTAAACTTGATAGTTTTGGAGGAAAAAATTCAAGTTTAAAAAAAAAATTTTTCCTTTCGAACGCCATTTTGTGTTCGCCATTTTGAATTTCGGAAAATATCCAACGGCATTTGAAAGAAAAGTCATCTATAACACCGATAACAGTGTTTCCAATGGTGTGTGCAAACTTTTTCCATTTCAAAATATACTTTTTTTAGAAAAAAAACGCGAAAAATTTGTGAATTTTCCGGAAAACCGGCTTATAACGTTTCCGGCTTACAATTTAGGTAAATTTTGTCAACGGCATTTGAAAGAGGAGGTCAAAATTTACAAGATATGTTGCTTGATAAATTTTTCATACGATTTTTTCATTAAAAGATATGAGGATGAAAGTTAAGAAAAAATTTGTGTTATTTGGGAGGAAAAGGGTTAAGGTGAGTTCAACTTCGTTCGGTAGAAGACAATTAAGCGAAATCATCTGACGTAAAGGCGAATACACGTACAATCATACGTGTTTAACGGAGCGGCGGTTAGCTTTGCACCGTGGGAGTTTGTTCTTAAATAAATTTTCCATTTTTTAGGTAACCTCCCCCGTTACATATTATACAATTATTTACGTTTCAATTTTTTTTTCAACTCTGAAATATAATTAAATTATATCTTTGATAATGAAAACGAAATAACTTTACCAAAAATGAAAAAAAGATTAATCTATTCGTTTTTCCTTAGCAAGTAGTTCCTTTCTCCCCTTTTTGAATGCTTGGCTTGTAGGTAACTAGTTTGTATTTTCCTACTCCACATTTTCAAATCTGCTCTCGACAGATAATTTCTTGCTGAGAATTTCAGATCTATGCGTATTTCTCGGAATTTTCAAATACCATACGCAGATTGGTCTACTCTTTTATATGTATTCATTGCTAGTACGTTAAATGCTAACATATTCAAACCAACCCTGTTTTTAAATCATACATCCGATAATCAAATAATCATCTATATGCTCAAGAAAAGGCTAGTAGATCAGCCGTCAAATCGAAGTTGTTTTAATAGTAGACATCAATTCATCCAAGCTGATAACGCAATTGACGGTGAAAGCTGTTCCTTTCTTAAATCATGATCTTTGAAATCGACCGACACGGTAATTCCAGTTGATAAGTTGCTGACGCTGCGCTAATAACCAAACTATGCACGAATGACTCGTGAATGTATTTACTGGTCTATGTAACGATGGGCTAACTGCTTTTTTTTTTAAAGATATAATCACACGGAATTTTTAATTTTATAATAATAATAATTTTATTATAATAATAATATTTATTATATTATATTATTTATTATATTATATTTATTATATAATAATAATAATAATAATAATAATAATAATTTTTTAATAATAAAAAATTAAATGCGACAATAGTTGTATTTCAAAACAGAGCAAAAACTAGACTGATTATCAATTGATCGCCTGTTCTGTTCTCTTACGCCCGCCCAGGATTCTTTATAAGTTTATTCTTATGCATGCTCTACTCTTGCTAGACGCAACTTCCTACGAACTTTGACTTACATAATGTCTATAATTCGATACAGTATATTTAATTTTGAGAAAAAGAAAATATGTTTCAAAACTAAATTTTTTGTCATAATTCTGTAATTTTTTGTCATTATTGATGCCGAAGGTGCGTTTGTACGTAAAACTATATAGAACAGATTTATTTATGAAAATTTTTAATATTGACTGAGTTCATAAAACGTAGAATTATAATCAAATAGACTTTCCAGTTTCATTTTACATTATAAAATATTTAGAAAAAGATTAAATATATTTTACCTTTTTTTTATTTTGTTTTCATCGTGATACATTCTATCTCAGTATAGATAAAAATTTATAAGCCTCTGTATTCAGAATATAGTAAAAATGAATCTACGAAATTTTTGTTTTTTTTTTAGGTTGTACATAGAAGTTGTAAATATAAAGAATAAATCTGCTGAGAAATGAGCTCCATTAATAAGATATCAGACATTAAAAGTAACATTAAAACCAAAACTACATTGAGCAAGAATAACCAAACTAAAATGTCGAGCACTTCAAAATGTGACAAACTTCAGGTAATTTTGTAATTTTTTAATTTTAACTTATAAAAGAATATACGTAATAAGTGCGAACAAAATATATATATAAATATACTCCGTAGGCAATAAAAATTGTCTAGCAGTTATTTTAAAATTTATATATTTATTTTAAGATCATTTAGCTAAATACTTATCAGTATTGTATTATGCTCTTAAGAATTATACATTTCTCTATTTGCCTGGTTTTATCAGCTATTTATTAAGCAGAATGCCGTATTTAGCAGTAAGTTAAAAATTACTAGTTCGGTTGTAATGGAAAATTGGTTCATTGTATGTTTTGTTACTCAAGTACGAGGTGTGATCAAAAAGTAACGAGAATTATTTTTTTTCGCGGGTTTGGAAAATCCGATCGTCAAATTTTTTTTTTATTATATTGGTACACACACCCCTGAAGTATGATAACATTTTCAGCTGGTTTTATTGTTTACTTTTCACGTGGCAGCCGCTAAGGTTAGAGGTGTTTTTGAAAGCTCGGCGAATTTTGTTTGTTAAAAAAATGGATCAAAGAACCTGTATTAAATTTTACGTAGAAAATGAAATAAAGTGCAACAAAGTGTGTGAAATGTTAATAAAGGCCTATGGTGATTCTACTCTGAGTAAACCAAGCATTTATGAGTGGTATAAACGATTCTCAGATGGTCGTGAAAGCGTCGAAGATGATGATCGTTCTGGCCGCCCTAACACTTCAATTAACGAGGATAACGTCAAAAAGGTTAAACAAATGATTCTAGAAGATCGGCGAATCACTATCAGAGAAGTCAGTGATGATACTGGTATTTCATTTGGATCGTGTCAAGCAATTTTCAGTGAAGTTTTAGGCATGACACGTGTAGCAGCCAAATTCGTCCCAAAACTGTTAAATTTTGATCAAAAACAAACTCGCGTAGAAATCTCCAAAGAATGTTTGAATGCAGCCAATAACGATCCAGAATTTATGAATTGCATTATAACTGGTGACGAAACATGGGTTTATGGGTATGACGTTGAAACCAAGGCGCAATCATCGCAATGGAAGCTACCTGGTAAGCCAAGACCAAAAAAAATTCGCCAAATTCGATCAAAACTGAAGGTTCTTCTCACTGTCTTCTTTGATTCGAACGGTATAGTACATCATGAATTCCTACGAGGAGGTCGCACAGTCAATAAGGAATACTATTTAGAGGTTATGCGCCGTTTACGTGAAGCGATTCGACAAAAACGACCGATTTTGTGGTAAAACAATTCGTGGAAACTGCATCACGATAACGCTCCCGCTCATAACGCGTTAGTTGTGCGTGAATTTTTGGCAAAAAAAAATACTGTTGTGTTACCTCAGGCACTATATTCACCGGATATGGCTCCCTGTGACTTCTTTTTATTCTCAAGATTAAAAAAAACGTTGAAAGGACAACGTTTTGACACCATTGATGAGATAAAAGAGAAATCGCTGAAGGAGCTAAGAGCTGTATCAAAAAGTGAGCTTGAAAAGTGCTTTGAAGACTGGATAAAGCGTTGGAAAAAATGTATTATATCTGGGGGGGATTACTTTGAAGGAGACAAATTTGATATTGATGAATATATACATAGTTTTTCAGAAAAAAAATAATTCTCGTTACTTTTTGATCACACCTCGTATGCTTGGTTTTGTCTGGTAAGGTGCTATGGAGAGAGAGAGAGAGAGAGGGAGAGAGAGGGAGAGAGGGAGAGAGGGAGAGAGAGGGAGAGAGTGAGAGAGGGAGAGAGGGAGAGAGAGAGGGGGAGAGAGAGAGAGAGAAGAAGAGAGAGCGAGAGAAGGAGAGAGAGAGAGGGAGAGAGGGAGAGAGGGAGAGAGGGAGAGAGAGGGAGAGAGAGGGAGAGAGGGAGAGAAGATTGTGCAAGAAGCATGAGAGAGAGAAATATAAACAAAAAGAAGAGGAGAGAGAGAGAAGATTGTGCAAGAAGCATCGAATCGTCTCTACGACGGAGGGAGAGACAATATTAGGCATTCCCTGATCGCAACACCTATTCCACAAACATTTTTAAGTGACGTTCCATATCTCTCTTTATCTCTATCTCTATCTATATCTCCCTTGGTGAATGAGTTTGGGTATTATATCGTGGCGGCAGATTAGCGTGTAACACTGCATCTAATATGTAATTACTCCACGATTGGCTGTCAATTGATCTGCACGTTCATCGTGTTCGTGGCCGAACAGCAATGTGAGTCGTTGATGTTGGATGCGTAAGTTCAGTTGGAGTGCCGTCAAGAATGAAAAATGCAGCGGAAAATGTGCACTTAGAAAAGTCAGAAGGTTTGCTCTATGGACCAGGCATTGCAGGTAAATTCAAAAAATGGTTTTGAAAGTGAAAATATGAAAAAAGAAATTTTTATTCATTGCAAACGTGTTTTCTCGGGTTTCCTCGAAAAATGATTTTTCGAGTTTCTGCCGACGATTACTCCGCGAATTTTTAACGTATCGAAAAAAAAATACCATTTTAAAGGTAATTTAATTATCTAGTCGACAAACTAAAAGGATTTTGAAAAAAATTATTATTTAACCATTTTTTTGCAATAAAAATAAAAGAATTTTTTTCTTAATTTGTTTAAAAGTGAGCCATTTTTTTAGTAAATTTTTTTATAATCGTAAATGTAGTTTATCGACGACTTTTTCGTACTATAATAACAAAAAAATGTTTTTGGTATGTTTCAGATTGATACAGCGGTCATTAAACGTGGCACAAAACGAAAAAAAAAAATTGTGTGTCCCTTCAATAATATATTAAGCTTCAACTATTTGTAATAATTGAAAAAGAAAATTTTTTTTTGTATGCTGAAATAAACATTGAAGACCTGTTCAAATTTCAAATGAAAATATTGTATAGTTTTTTCAAAAAAAAATCCTAAAAATCGCATACAGTTTTCGTCATTTACACGAGGATACCCCCTTAAGATGCTGGAATAATGCCACAGACACAGATACACAGTTACACCCATCTCTTTCAAAATACTGTAATGTTTGTATCACTTATAATATATTTAATAGTTCGTACTCTCGTGGTCTTGTCGCGTTAATGAGTAAGAATTTGTTTCTTTTCAAATTTACTCTAATAATTAATATGAAATAAATCAATAAATCAAGTATATACGAATATAAGTAAATTTCAAGGAAATTCGGAATTTGCCCTAGTTTCTTATGGTGCGTATTGTCCCATAAGCAGAGCTAAAGTCTTCCTTATAGAGGATATAATTTAGCCCAAGTTTCTTATAGCGCGAGATGTTCTATAAGTTGAGCATGCATTATAGGAAAGGAAAGGTCTTGCTCAGTTAATTACAATGAGAGAAAGAACTTAGGTATTAGCCAAGTTTATTCAATCTCATGCACTCACTTTACAAGACTTGGAGTGAATCGCAGCCTGTACAATGATCAGTGTATTTATACACAGATTTTCCCGCCTATTTTTGCAGGAGAGTTCTTTTCGAGAAGTTTTCGAATCTTCGAGAAATATTCGCAAATTTTGAGAAATGAATTTTCTTAATTTACAAGTAAATAAACATTAATACTAAAGTTTTAACATATGTAAACTTAACAAAATTAGTTATTAGTCGTTTTAGTGTAATTTACAATTATTACAAATAGTTTCGTCAAAAGTTATTAACTAATAAAGTTAATTAATGCAATATTACAATATTTGTAATAGAACAATATTAAATTTTTGAATAACTTTATAGCTTACTTATTTTAGAAGTGATTTCCAAAAAGAAATACTCAAATTGGTTAATAACATTTGAATTATAACAAATTTTCATATTTGATTAACGCTTTCGTTCTATATGTAACTTAATGTTTAAATAAATTATTGATTATTTATTTATTAATAACAGTTATCATTAAACTGTTATTAATGAAATCAATTCTTACTCATGTTTTTCAGATATCCATTATGAATATGGAGTATTCACATTTTTCTAATAATTAATATTTATAGTGTAATAAGCAAATTAACTTTGCATATTAAAATTCATTATTATTTAATAATTACACGTAATTCGAATTATTATAATCTAAATCTATATGTACTATCTATATATACTAAAATCTATATAAGAAATGCTTTGTTATATCAAAATTACGTCTAATTAACATATTTTATTCAAATAACAAAAACTATTATATCTATATCTATAAGTCTGTGACGTCACGCTCCTTATATGGTCATGAAATTAGACTCTTGTACTAAGACAATCAAATAATAGGTGAGGTGTCACCGTTTAATATGCTAATTGATGTAAACAGATAGATGAGTTTAACGGGTTGCAGTGATTTAATGAAATAATAGACTAGCTCATAGATAGGACCGTTACAACACCAATGTTATGGCGGAAGCCGTTTAATCACGATGACTGCTATTTTTGTTTAACTATAACTACTGGCTTCAATTTTAAAAATTCTCATAAAATAGTGTATACAAATGTATCAAGTGCCACGAAACCTGTGATGATGAGATCTGACGATATCCCTCCTAACCCTCCAAGTTAGACGAAAAATGCTGATACTAATATAAGTGGTGAGAAAAGATTTCTCCAAGTTTCTGCAGATAGTAATTTTTATGATTGTCAAGATTCTCAATCTCTACCGATTATTTTGATCAAGCTGCACTAAATGACTTAGTCCGAGACTTAGGCTTGACCAAAGACAAATCCGAATTACTGGGTTTACGACTAAAAGAGAGAAATCTTCTTGCCCCTAAAACTACATTTTCTTGGTACATACATCAAGAAAAGTCGTTTACTCCGTTCTTTTCCCAAGGTGAAAGCTATGTTTATCGCAATAATGTTCATGGTTTAATGAAAAAATGTGGACTGACGTATGATCCTGCTGATTGGAGGTTGTTTATCCACTCCTCTAAAAGATGCTTCACCGGGCAACAATGCAGTGTCGGATGACACGCTGGGCTTGGGTTCCTCCTCCCAGGCTCTTTTGGTGACGGGGTCTAGGGCCCGCACGCCCATGAAGATA